GTATTCCCAGGTCTCTGAGTCCCCACGCACTCCCATATGCCTCTGAGTGGATTCATACCGCATTCGGACCCATTGTCTTGCCTGCGCCGTTACAAATTAAGGATAACTACTAATGCCTAACTTTTAACTACTATTAGATTTTATTATAAAGACTGTAACCTGTTCTAGCTGCAGCTAAGGCAAGATACCTACTTTTAAAACTAAACTACTACTAACTTTAATAGCTAAACCCTTTTTTATAGGACTTAAAGCTAAAAACCTACTAAATTTAGAGTTAAACTTTAGTAATATAGCTCTTAAAAACTAAGTTGCTTAATTAAGAGCATAAATTAAATAGCTAACTAGATTAAAAACTATTAGTCTTAATTAACCTTTACTAACTACTAAATTACTCTTAATAATGCCTTAAATTACCTCTACTATACTAATAGTAAGAGACTTTTTTAGCACTCCTAAGCTTTTTTAAAGCTACCTTACTAAATGTATACCTAAGATTAAGAACTTTATAAATAGCAAAAAACTTATGTTTAAATAATAGTAAGCCTTTATTATAGATAGACTTAACATTAATTTAGATTACTATTAGAGTAAGTGTGCACGCATAGCGTTAGTATAGGGACACACTGCTAGTATTATAAAGAAATACCTAGAGCCTAAATACCTAGCTAAATTAGACAACTTTTAGTTTAAGAATATAAAAAAAATAATTAAGCTTTTATAAACTTACTTTATTACTAGTAATAAAAAAATAGAGGTGCAACAGGCGTTTTAAACTCTAAAAATAAGTAAAGAAAAAGTGTTTTCTGCTTTTAAAGCTTACTTTATTAGTGCTACTATTAAAGAGTCTATATTAAAAGTAGAATAGTTCTTTTACTTATAAAAAAAAATACTGCCTAGCTTAAAAGTACTAAACTTAGGTTTTAAACACACTTAAAAGGGCTTTTTTAAGACTATAGTAGCCTACCTAACAGCCTATAACATAGAAAGAAGGAATACCTCTACTATTTTAGAGTAAACTGTTAATCTTACCTAATAGTCTACTATTAGACCTAGTATAGATTAGTCTTAGAAGGTTTCTAGTAATACATCTAAGGGGGTATACTATTCTAGTGCACCCTGACCTGCACCTCTGTTAGTACCTTAATCCACCCTAGCTACCTACAGACAACCTAGCTAGACACCTGCCTCTAAAAGATAAACAACTTCTAGCAGCTGTTATAATTATAGTAAACTAGAACATTTTGCTAGTAATTATCCTATTTTTAAAGTACAGAAGATTAAGGTAGAGCAACAGGAATCTAAGAAAGAGTTTATAGATATAAATAATTACAACCTAGATACCTCTTAGATAGGAAATAGTAACACTTAGAGAAACTCTTTATCTTAGGCTTAAGTAAGTATAATTTATTAAACATTAATCTATTACACTTATTTAAAGGAAAACACTTCTAAGTCTTTACTGATTTGTATTTAAAAAGTATTAAAGTCTATTTAAATCTCTTAGTTAATACTAGCGCTTATAGTTTTTTATTTATTAACTTACTAACTACTAAGTTATTATTTTAATGCCTTTATGTCTTTATCTAACACTTACTATTTAAAGTTATAGTTAAGGGCTTTTAAGATTAGATCTAAGTCTCTATCTACTAGTATATCCGCCTGCACATGTGAATTAATAGAAGAAGCATCTAAAACTGCCTCTTTGTTATTATAGACCTTAGCTCTTAAGATTGCATTATTAGCATTAAATAGTTACATTATTTTAAACTCTATCTAGATATAAAGAGAAATTAGATTATATAGCCTAGTAAATATCTGCCTACTTATTAGCAGAGCTTGCTCTGCTTATTATATTCGGGTTTGCAGAACAAAAAGTTGAGCAGAATCTCCTCTTTTAGACGCGCTAGTTAGTCAGAATTTCTTCGGATAAACCCCGGTAACGCTATTTCTCTGTCACCTTATGTATTTCTTACATTCTTTTTTAAAAAAAATGTATACCTAATATAGGTGCACCTTTCTGTTAATTTGCATGAAGTTTACTCTAGCATGCGTTGTGTAAAACATGTTTACATTATAGATAGTTGCGTCTGTTCCACCTCTCTAGCCACATCGGTGTGTCGGGGATTGGCATCAGCCACATTGGTGTGTCAGGGATTGGCATCAGCCGCATCGGTGTGTCGGGGATTAGCATCAGCCGCATCGGTGTGTCAGGGATTAGCAGTTGCTCTCACACCTGTCAGATTGAAGCACTGTTTCTGGGCTTCCTGAGATGAATGATGGGTTTGGATATGATGTATGGGATGATTATTGATTGTATTGATTTATCAATCCTTTTTCTGCTCTGCTCGTGTTGCTCGGCTTTTGTTTTTCCGATCCGAGTCCCTCGCGCACTAGCCCTATGCGCGACCAGCTTGCAACATGCTGCAATTTGCTGCAAAATGCTGCAA